CACATAAATGGTCCCTTCTCAGCATGGTTTATTTTGTCACTCTAATTTACTTTGCAATGCATTGTACCATGATCTGCACGCTTTGTATTACTGTTATATGTTAGCTGGAGGAAAGAGGTGACTTTTCTTTGAATGTACTCATGTCGACATGGGTAATAGTAAGGTTGCATTTTTCTATCTAAGGATCTTATATGTCCTTCCTTTACCATTTTATATGAAAGCACCGCAGTCTTTAAATGTATTTGTCATTGCACGGTTCCACAGTGAGGTGCTCTCATCTCTGTGTTGGATGTGCAAGCTGTGGAAAGGAGCTTGATGGAGATGTGCCTTTGCCCCTGCAGGCTAGAAGCTCGCAGGGTGCCAGTGCTTTGGGGCGTAGCTCTGGGCTGGGGGACCCCATGAGCCTGCCCAGGCTGGCTGGCTGGCTGGCTGGCTGTGGGAGAACTGGGAGGGGTGGCGTACACTGCATTTGAGCCGCTTCGCATAGCAGTCTTTCAAAATAGCAAAAACCTATACATGGAGACGGCTTAACCTGCCGAAAGTCACAGAAGTCACCTGTGACAGAGCAAATACTTCCACTTGTGTATCTCTGGTATTGTGCTTATCCTGGTTTTCATTTCTAAAGATGCCTCTTATTCCTTTTCTGTAAAAGAACAAGCCATACGGCACACATATTTCTTCCGATATAATAGTGCCCACACCAAGCAGTTGTCCTTCAGCTACAGTGGTACAGCTAAAGCAGAGTAAGTTCTATGTGTTCAGCCAGGTCTTGGCAGATCACAGGTTTTTTTGGTTTTTTAAATTACTTTGCGCTGTGTGTATGCAAAATATAAAAGACAACATGGGTTGACTAAGTAGAAAAGGACGTCATATTTCCCTTCTGAAACCCTTGGGACTATACATTCAGGGCACTTGAATTATTTCTACAACAGCTTTTAAGAACAATTTGGATAAAAACCTACAGTGTATGAAAGTGAGATGAAGAGTTTTGTTTGGCGATGCGCAGGGATGGCTGTGCATTATTCCCCTCCTGAGGAACCGGCTTGGCTATTCCAGCCTTGCGGCTTCAGCATGGCTCTGCCAATGTGTACGTGGTCACTGACACCTTGTGTCGGTCCTGCCCTCTCCCTGTCCTGCGCTGGCTGCCAGTGGGGCCATGTGCTGTGAAGCAGGTTGTATAAGGCTGAGAGATGTCCCTGGGGCCCTGCAATGAGGCACACAGCAAACTCGTGTTGATCTGTCATCTGCTCACGATTTCAACCCAGGTGAGAGACGATTTCCCTCACGGAACGGCCACATTAACCCGCTGCGCTGCTCCGCTCCCTCTCGTGTGCTACACAGGTCTCATCACTTAGCCGTGCACTCTATTCCTAGCAACACAGGTTCAAAGCACTTCAAATAATGGACACGTCCTCAAACTCTTGGAAGATGGTGGCTTGCCCAGCTCTTTATGGGCTAGCCTCAGCTCCCCACCTGTGTTCAAATACAGAGCAGCCATTTTGTCTTCAGAGCCCCTAAAACTGTATTCCCCTAAAGGAAAAATCCTGCTGGTATTCTTCTCACTGGGACTTTTGTTCTTCCTTTCCCTATGTTTTTGGTCAAACTGCAATATGGAGTCACACTGACTACAGGTCCATACTGGCTCTGTGTCTGTGGGAAATGCTACTAATAACAGATTCATATATCTGTAAAATCAGTGTGATAAAGAGTTTGGGTGTGGTAGCCTGAACTGTACTCTCCTGTCACGGGGATGAACCGAGGCTTTGTCTCTGGTTCAAGCGCTGCCAGCTTAGCATCACACCCAATCCTGTATTTGCTTAGTAAAGGACAAGGAAACTGACACAAGAGAAAATCCTGCAGAAATTCAAGATGACTTCAAAGTTGCTCACTGGAATGGCTGAGAGGTGCATTGTCAAAGTTATTAAGCAAAAAAATTAATCCTAGCTGTTTTTATTTACAGCTGGCTTAGCTGGAGGGCTGGGGTGGGCGGCTTAGCAGGGTGGCTGCAAGTCACAGCAGGCTGTGGAGCCGGGTGGCCTTCCCCACAGCTCAGAGCAGCAGCTCAAATCCACAACAAAAGGCGCTGATCTCTCCGTTAGCAGATAGCAGAGGACTGAAATAAGCCCGTGTGCTTATGCTTGAGTTCTTTATGCATTGTGGACTCGGGAGGCAGCTTACAGTATATAGCGTTGCTGGGGCATTACACTCAGCCCCCACCTATTCATCCTCACTCTCGGTGCTATCAGGAAGATAAGCTTAAAGTTCTCAGGAATCTATGCTTAAAGTTAAGAGGAATGTACGCGTTATCAGGAATACATGCGTGAGGTGCGCACTGCTGCGGCCGTTGACACTACGAGAGGAGCCAGGAGCCGCCCCGGCGCCGGCCCTGAGCTCCCTGCGGGCCGGAGCCGCGGCGGGGCCCGGTGGGGGG